CCTTATAAAATTCAACCGAACAATGAAAAATTAAAAAATTCCTTCCCCTCCCTTCCCCTCCCCTCCGTTTCCCCCGAACCAAACACTGCCTTAAAATTTTCCTTTCCCTGCCCTTCTAATTTTGCAACCAAACAAGGGAAAACTAAAATTTTCCATCCCCTCCCCTCCAAATCCCTCAAACCAAACACTAGCTCAGTCAAAATTCAAGCCCAACAAGTTTGTTTATTAAAACGAGATGAACACAAAACAATTGATTTAGATTGTTTGCAATCAAATTTGATTTATAAATTTAAGATGAAGTAGTCGATTATAACTTGTTTGTCAACGAATTTCTATGTTAACAAACAACTCGTTTAAGGTTTTTGATATTAATCTAGTCGAATCTAAAGTTTCCCGAATCTCGACTTGTCTATTATACGAGCACAAATGCAAACATAAAATACTTAATCTTTCTAGTTTTGGGGTTTATGAACCTACTCTTCACATTTCAATAGTAATTACACCATCTCCGTATCTTTTATACACACATACACAAACACACACACACACACACACACATATATATATATATATATATTATATTCTTGTTTTATTCATAGTTCTTCTTTGTGAGACCGTCAATTATTAAGCGGGTCCACTTGTCGTACTCTATCAACAAAAATACCTACTTATACTATCAGATATCATATTTTGTCATATTTTTGTTTATGATGTTTTTTAAAGTATGACATTTAGTAACAAGATTTGTGGAAAGTGTATTCCCACTTAATGATTCAATCAACCTAATACTAATACAAGACATGTTTTTTATTATATTATGCTAGATTTTTTTAATTTTTGTGTATTTTAAATATGAAATAGAGCAATATAGTAACATACTAGAGTATAGTGTATTAAACTATTGCTTGCTTGCTTGTTTGTTTCACAACATAAAAACATTTTAAGCTACATCTACCTACCCATCTTTGTATATATAATCTAATCTCTTTGGAAAATAATACACAAAAAGGAAGGGGAAAAAAAATGAATAAGTTTGCACGAATACAATGTCTTCTCAAATGAATTTTTTGAAAAGATAAAGAACAAATACAAAAAACTAGAATGAATATATTGTTTAAAAAAAATAAAAAATGTCAGAAGTGGGATTTGAACCCACGCCCTCTCACGAGGACCAGAACTTGAGTCTGGCGCCTTAGACCACTCGGCCATCCTGACTGCTTTAATTTTTAAAGTTATATTATTATTAATGCATAGCAATCCACATGCACCCAGAAATATAAACCTCTCATAACTCATAAGTAGAAAAACATCATTAAAAGTAAATGTTTTTGCAATGCATTCCTCCTTCATATCCTAACTGAATTGGCGTTGGAAGAAAAATAAACTCAATCAATCAAAGAAAATAACAAGGTTAATCTTATTTGTTATACATCTAAAATTTAATTTCACTTTCCTTTAAGAAACTGGGATCAGGATAAAACAATTACAATGTCATACATATCCAGACAAAGTGACATCAATTGTGCCTCCGACCACATCTCTCTAACAGAGGAGCCCTCACGTTTGGCGCGTGTTGTAAGATTTGCAGTTGAGGCACTTGTGTCCCATCACATGATACTTCACTTCCGAGTTGCATCCACAATCGTTACAAAGAATCGAAACCTGTCATCCGAAAGAAGTATATACAAGATGTCCCGATATATCATATTCTTCTCTCTTCTGCAATACGAGCATACGACTAAAACCTCAGGGGTAGTTTAGTAATTACCATCTTGTTTTCGCAATCGGGAGGCATTGGCGTTGCCGCTATCTCCTGGTCAAACTTTTCCCACACTTTGGACATATCGCACACCGACTTGGAGCAGATAGGGCAAGCGTATCTATTTGCAAATGCGCGGATTGTTTTCTATGAGCTATAATATAAATAAATAAAATCCAAGGACACATATTTATAGATAATGCTTATCATGACTTACTGATAGTGTTCTTGCATTTCCACCAAGCACACCCTGTGGATAGTGTGGCCGCACGGCAAAGCAATGACATCATTTCTCGACTCGAATAGATACTACATATAACAAGTATTTTGGTTATACATAACTGCTCGAAATAAACGAGGAATTTAAAAGAAAAAAATTGAAATGTGAAATTTATACCTCGAAACAAACAGGACAGTCTTGGTGCATTGCCCTCTCCACGCATGGGTGTGTGCTTTTCAAAAGCGCAGAATAACAGCAACCTAAATCACAGCGAAAAAATGCGTGAGAAGAAAGTAACGGTTTACACACATCTTGTTACGAGAAGAAAGAAAAATACTTACCACATTTATAACAGTGAAAGAAGTTATCAGAGCCCCCAATCCTGCAACAGCAATTACATGTTTCTGTCATTACTGGCGAAAAGCATGTAATTTATTCTATGCTCCTCTAGCAGAATAATAACTTTAGTTATATAAACACGTGGTGATCAAATCATGAAGTGCAGGGAAATAGAGTACCTGCAAATGCCGCAGCCATCACAGTGGTACTGCTGTTTAGATGTCTGCAAATCGAAATATAAAAATGTGTTAGTAGACTAACTCTGTTTTATAATGGCTCTCAGTTAAACATCTGCAGATATTCGTCAAAACACTGTCCAGGCCACATTTTGTGCTTCCACTAACTAAGGCATGTCTTCTAACATATTTCTCTTGCAAGAGAATGCATCTCACTTACATCATCATCGAACAGCTTGCAAATTCCGCAGAAGTACCTTCCCATGCATACACCACAACTTTTGCAGAATTGTTGAACCTGAGAATAAAGGGCCAAAAATTATAATGCCACAGAGAGAGAGAGAGAGATGATTATGTCCATAAATTATCCCCAAACTCTGCCAACTCGGGCTCCAAGGAACAGAACACCAACGCCAGTTCTTATAATAAAAAATTCAGCTCATTATTCTGACAAATAAATCAGTTCATTGAAAAAATTTCACAAATGCATGCATGTCTATAATAACCAATTCATTTACTAACCTCCTGTTCAGTGTCACAAAGTGAGCATATGACCTGCAAAATACAAACAAATGGTTTCGTCATGATATCTTTTCATTTAACCGCAAACAAAATAAACACAAGTCAGCAAAGAAAGCCTAAAAAAACAGGTAAGTAGATAGGAGTCCTACCTTCTCAACCAAGTGCCTGGGAACATCATGTCTGAGCTTTTGATCAATGTGAATATTATTCTGAATACAAATACATATAAAATTCTGGGTCATTTCACATTTTTTGTGCTTCTTGTATTAATAATCTCATCTAGTAGAGAAAAACCACAACGAAAACAAACCAATGAAAAAGTGTTCTGGGTACCTTTGCCTCGTTATGGCAGTGACGGCAACTGAATACCTCACTGCAACAAGGAGCCCTTATGTGGCACCTCCGACGATAATGGGCACATCTGTTAATTTAGTGATTATTATCAACATCAAATTATATAATGCAGCATCAACTACAATAGATATGTGAAATCTACAAAGTCATACCCATACTCAAGGTATCCCTTGTCCAATGTTTTGGCGCCAGTGACATTTTCCTGACACGTTAACTGATTTTCTGAGGTTTGCTCTTCCTGGGAAACCCCCAAATCTGGCTCATCTGCCTTTACTACTTTATGTGTCTCATTTTCTTCAGCTAATGTAGTTTGTGGGGTTTGTGGTTGAAAGCGTGAACTGCCAGGGTGCTCGAAAGCAACAGATGCCATTCGGATGGATTGAGGAATAACAAATAACTAGAAGCTTGGCAATGGTAAAAAAAAGGTACCTGCATTCATAAACAAATTTAAGAAAAGACTAAGCCTATCCGTGCATACTATACTAGTCGCGCTGCAGATGGGGGAACCACTCATGATCATGCAGCGTTTGTCACACATTTGGCTCCAAGAGGAATAGAATCAGCAAGAATAAAATCCAACAAGGGGATTGGACAGCTCCAATCACAAAAACTCCAAAGGAGGAGATTCCTGAAAGCAAGTTCATTAAGGGGAATCCCGACAAACAAACAATCACGCAGCTTTCTGGAACTCCAATCTCCAAGCTGCGGACAGTACACCAATGATGGACAGCTAAACCTATTGCCAAAGCAATAGAAATATATCACGCGCATTTCAAAACAAGAAAAAGTTGTGATGTTTTAGAAGATTATAGGGAGAAGTTCTAATCCTAGTCCTCAAGAGTAGAGGCCTACCTCGATCCAGGATATTGCATGGTTCTGCCTTCACTGCGTAACAAGTTAAACAGAAGAACCACTAGACCTCCACAACTCCGAAACTTGTTTCCTAGTTATTCCTACCAATCTATCTTTTACAGTAGAAACCGAGGTTGAATCTTGAACCTGCTCATCTATCTTTACAAGTAGAAACCGATGTTGAATCTTGAACCTGCTCATCCACTCAATAAAGTATCAGTAACTTACTCCTCGACATAACAGCCACATAATAGCGAACCTCTGCCCTAGGCGCATGCAACTATAACCTAATATATATCTACGGCAGCCCAATGGTAGTGTCGGGTGATAAATAACATTGGCGGAGAAGTGCAAGATTTAGATGGCAACAAGGTCAGTTGAACATCAGAGAAGTTTACAAATGGAAGTAATGGGCATGACAAAAATAGATCAAAACGGATATATACTGCTAAGAAGGTGAAATGGAAAAGCTTTTTAAAATCCACAACCGTAACTTGGTCGAAGTATATAGTGTGGAATCTTCAAGTCCTTAAAACTTTCAACTGAACACCTAAAACTTTGATATGCTTCGCTTCCAGTCGTATTCAAAATTATTCCACGAAGCACCAGAAACAATAACCAAGCAGATATCTGAGGGATGTAGACATTACTAGCACAGTGACTTTGATCCGAGGAAGAATCCCAATAACCGTTGAAACAAGACACCAAAAGCATCCAGTTAACTTTGTAACGAAAGAATACATGACTCAATTGAAAAAAAAATAATAATAATAATATATACAAGACTTACACCATATTGATTCTATCCAACTTAGGCAATGAGTGAATACTTTCTTCAGAGATTTATATCTTCCCTGGACTCATTATTTACGCTTCTTACACCTCTGAAAGATTGATGCCTAAAAATCTTTTCTAAAGCCCACCATTCCTAATAGAAAGCTTGAGGAGGAGCTGCCCACTTGCAACCCCAACCATAACAAGAAACAAAGAAGGAAATTTGAGGATAACTAGTTACTAGATTAGGAAGAGAATCAATCTTCAGTGTCCAAGCACGATCCTATCGAACAATTATTTCCATATAAACGTCGTCATCTCTGATGGGTACCGTCCGCTGCTCAATATGCGTTAGTCTACTGAAAATGTCGGGATTCACAGGGGGGAAAAAATCAGCAAATTCCAAAAACAATGATGCAGTGGTTCAATATCAGTATATCACCAAGCTAATCATCAATAGACAGTTAAACACAGGTTCATGCATCACAAAGAAGCAGACACATAAACATCAAGCATACATCCAACCACAAATTCCCATAGGTTACCAAGGAGTTTTACTGCCATCAACCTCACCACACCCAAATTCAACCAAAAAAAAGCCCTAAAATGATGCTTCCAAGGAGAGAAAAAAATAAATAAATAAAATCAAATAAAAACCCATTCCGAATATGTTCACGACAAACACAAATCAAACACGAAAAAGGAGAAGGCGTTAGATAAAAAATGATACCAACACCAATACCAATTCACGAAATTAATAATAATAAAAACTTTCTAAATCACGAACTTTAAACTCCGATCTCCTCCGCAAAATACTCCTCCGATATCCTCCGCCGGGAACCGATCGCCGGCCGCACACGCAGACTGACTAACGAACTGACACAGATTCACAGATACTGCGAGTGATTGATATACATTTCAGCTTTGGAAGAGGAAAGGTTGTGACAAGACATGGCGATGGACAAGCGCGTAATACATACATATATATATGTATATATCGGTGACGTACAGAAGTTATCGACAGGGACAGGTTTGACGAGGGATGGAAGATGATGGCGTGTCATATTTATTTCTTTATTTATTTATTTGGGGTTGTCGAGAGAGTTCGAAAAATATCTGATAAAATGTGTGGTTTTTTTTTTAATACTTCTCTCTCTCGTGTGTGTGTGTGTGTGTGTGTGTGTGTTTGTGTGAGTGTGGGTGATAATTATTTGGCGGTGTTTTCTGCTTTTCGTAATCTTTGGAGTTGACACGAAATCGTGATTTGTAACTGTTAGTTATCTTGTAATTGTCATGAATAGTTCATGTAATAATTATAAATTCGATAAAATATTTTTGTAACGGGACCGTAAAATCTCTCCAAAATTTAAGACGTTCATTCGTGTATTATTTTTTTTTCCAATTTTTTATTAAAAATTAGTATGTTTAACATAATTTTAATAAATAAATAAATTTTGACACTATTTTCATTTAAAATTTAAGAAACGTTAAATTAGACTTTTAGTTTAAATTTAAAGATTTTCTTTCATTGATTTTTTTTCTTCATATTTTTAATTTGGCATACACCAAATTTAACTTAATTTTTTGTTTAAATATTTGAGGAATTTACACATCATACTATCATATATATTTTATATTACATATTCACACCCAATTAATATTTATTTGTTAAACTACAAAATCACCCTAATATATTTACATATATACCTGATTTTATAAGTTAATGATTATTTAAATATAGAATCAAATCAATTATTATTAATTGAGACAATTAATACCTTTTCAATTGTCAACTACATAGAAGGATGGGAATAGGGTCGTTATCTTCAACTTCTCCTTTCGTTAACTTCCAAGGAAAAAAACAACAATTTGCAGTGCCTTTTCATCTAAAGCTTGAGATGTCCATGGAAGCTCAAAAATCTGAAAAATCACCAGGTACGATGAAATTGCTTGACATAAAGCACCGAATTTTGAATTTCGCAGCCCCTTCGATTTCTTCTGAATTTCGTAGCCCCTTCGATCTCCTCTGAAAATCACTCAACCATACATTCACCATCTCCTCCGAAAAGTGAGCGGAGATGACGAGGGAAGAGTTCTTCGGGGAACCGAAGAGGCTGGAGCCCGATTTGAGAGTGACGGTGAGCGGAGGGGAGGTGGCGGCGGTGGGCGGCGTAGGCGAGTTTGAGAGAGGGGAAAGAGGAGAAATTCACGTCAAGCCCTATGATCGGATAGATTGGAACAAGGCACATCACAATTGTTGTAAGGTGGGCAGTCCTTGTACGTGAGTTTGATGCTTGTGATTTTAGGAGTATATTTTGTGTGTACAAGTAGTATATTTTGTGGGCAGTCCTTCAAAAAAAATTTTTAATCCGTTCAGTATTTTTTGTGTGTACAAGGAGTATATGTTCAATATATTACAAGATTTTTATTTATTTATTTTTTTGTATATAAAATATAAGTAACCTATTATAATATGTTTATAAACTATAACTATAGGAAGTATATGTTCAGTATATTAGAAAATATTTTAAATTTGTTAAGTATATTTTGTGTGTACAGAGAGTATATGTTCAATATATTGCAAGATTTTTTTTGTATAAAAAATATAAGTAACCTGATATAATATGTTTATAAACTATATATGTACTTTTATGTATGTAATTAAAACAAAAAAACAAAAAAAAAAACGACATAATTTTTTGATGGAACACATTTTTCATTTCAACATATTCTAATATATATTAACATAAACTCAATATATACCACCTGACAGCTCTATTAAATAACTTGTGTGAAATAAGGGGATAAGCGTGAATTAAGAGGAAAGGGTTGGAAGGATATGGTAACTTTAGGCATTAATATAAATAAATAATATCTTTTAGGTAGAGACATAATTATTTTAACTTGTATGGTAAAATTGAAATTAATTTAAAATCATGTGGGAGACATAAAAATTTCCCTAAATATTTTTGTTCAACTAGAGCATCTACATCCATTAATATTTTTTCCATTAATTCAATCAAAAAGTTACACTCTCTGTCATCCACATCATCTCCACATCATCTTTCACTAATTATATCTTCATTTAAACACACACTCACATCTCTACACATTCATTAAATACAAAATATAGACCCATTATATCTATTCATTCAATATAAATTTAATATCCTATTCTGAATAAAAATAAAATTTTAATATTTTTAAATTATAATAATAAATTTTAAATGCTTAAAAATAAAAGAACACTATAAGACCAAAATAACTTAAATTAAGATTACACAAGAAAATAACTTAAAATTGAATTACATATTAAGTATATATATATAAATAGTTAAAATTAAATGAAAACAAAAGAAAAAGAAATCAAATTGCATTCAAATTAAATGAAAAAATAAAAAATAAAAATAAAAATAAAAAAAGACCCACAAGACGTTGAAAACAAAAAGAAAAAAAAAAATCAAAAAGGCTCCAGAGCCGTTCAATGTGATGAACACGCAACGCTTGAACTGGACAAGGGTCATTTAAATGACAAGAATAAACGCATTGATGCGGATGCGGGATGCTCTAACTATAATGTTAATGTCAATTTCAATCGGTAGACATATATTAATTCTCAATTTTGTTGTTTATTAACTCAGGCAAAATTGCATATAAAAGCATAATTTTTCATGTTTTTGTATTTTAATCACGACCTTTACATATTAGTACTTAAGTACATGACCTTTCATTCCTTTGCAAGTCAAAGCATGTTTTCATCTCCGACACAAATAAAATGACGTGGCTTGCCGGAATACACACGTGGAAATGTGGAATGTTCAAAAAAAGAAAAGAAAAATGAAATTCATATCGTCCATTCTGGTAATAACACATAGACTAAAAATAAAAAAATAAAAACAAAAAATCTACGTCGTCTCTACCTAAATCGGTTCAATCTCCCGTCACACACATGACCCCTAATTTTGATCTCCAATTTCTGTGAAGATGATGAAATTTCTATGAAAATTGCAAAATTTCTGTGAATCATATGCTCTTCAACTTCTGTAAACTTTCTCCATGACCCTGAATTAGCTCCCCAAAATTCCAATTCCTCTCGCCACACGAACCCTAATCGTGTTCCCAAATTCCCAGTTTTTATTCAAAATGTGGAGTGGATCTAGCAGTCGAACCACAACTCCTCAACCTAGAATTGGTTATTTTCATGTAGAATAAGGCCGATTTGTCTTGGATTTTCCGTATTGAAGCCTTGGATTTGTCGATTTTGTTTTTGAGATTTGAGATTGCCTTTACAGAGGATTTTTTTAGGTTTGATTCTTTCTTCAATTTGGGGATTTTTATTATTTCTCCTCGGAACGTGGATTTAAATTTTAGTTTTTTAATTTTTTTGGTGCAGTGACGTGTCAAAAAGACAGTCCAAAGTGGATTTTCATTTTTCTTTTCTTTTTTTAAACATGCCACATGTGTTTCCGGCAAGCCACGTCATTTTATTTGTGTCGGAGATGAAAGGCATGTTTTGACTTGCAAAAGGATAAAAGGTTATGTACTTAAGTGCTAATATGCAAAGGTCGTGATTAAAATGCAAAACCATGAAATGTGGTGCTTTTATATGCAATTTTGCCTAACTTATTCTCTAATTTATTTTTATTATTTTTTTTCATATGTAATGTGCATTTAAAATCTATATATATATAATTACTAGCCAATAACATTTAATAAAACATATTTAATAAAACCTCTAACTTTTTTCCCTCCATTTTCGGTTACAGAATTTAACATTAATAATTTTT